GAAGGAAACCCATTTGATCAAGAATTTCCTAGTGTTGCATGGACACAACAGAGAAGTTGACTTATCATGAGGCAGACTCATCCAAAGCCTAAATTATTGGACAAAGTTGATTCATAACATTTAAAAACAGTTCAAACCAAAGCAAGACTCCAAAAACCTAAAAAGGGGCGAGCATAAGAGTGTAGATTTTGAAAGAAATACTGCTAGTTTTGTTTAGGATAAGGACTATGTTGGTGTGACGACAACAAGAGAGAGGAGACAATCTGAGTGTCTGTGGAGAAAAAAAAATACCTAGAAAAATAGGAACAGAATGTCCTACCTTGTTTCCAGTTCAAATGCTCACAAGTATATTAAAGCAGCCTTGAAAATTTCAATTCACAAGTTTCAGATATAATTCCAAGGGTTTTTTTTGTTTACAACAATTGGTTCATCCAGAAGGGACACCTAGTTATAGATGAGTTACAAGAGAACAAAACATTTATTTCTTGGTTCAGCAACGTCTAAACAAGACCATCATTGGAAAGAAGATGCCTCTAAAGTCTTAACTCTAATTCTAATTCCAACAAAACATCAGGGAATTATAAATCTAGGTTCAGTTACCGTAAAAATTGGCATATTAGACGACTTTCTAAGCCAAGAAAGTCATCTTAAAAGTGGGGGGGTCGTCTTGTGTGCCGGCTATAAGTTCCACCACTTGAGGATGCCGAGAGAGAGGGATGCGAGCAGCCATGAGAGGCCAAAGGGAGCCTGCTGGTCTCGCAGCTCAGCTGGCCAGCCCTCCCGGCAGACCTGCCGATCCTCCTCCTCCTCCCCCCTCGCCATCCCCAAGCAGCGCAGCAGCTGCCGCTCCTCCTCCTCCCCCTCCTCCTCCTGCAGGAAAAAGGGGCAGAAGAGGCTTCCCCCAAGCCTCCCATTCCCAGCCTCTTTCTCCCTCTCCTCTCCTCCCTCAAACAGTGCTACTCAAGGAGAGTCAAAACAAAGGCACCTCCGAGAAAGTCCTGCTGCAGAAACTTCTTCTTTCTCCCCTCTTTGGGGTTTCTTTCCTGTCTCTGTGCTCAGCTCCCTCTGAAAGAACAGCCGCTCCTAAGTTTTAAAAGTTTTAAATAGCCTGCAGAAGGAGGAAGAAAAAGGTCTCTTTCCCCCGTTTGGTTTTGTTTCTGCAGCCAAGAACGAGGCAGCCTTAAAGGGGAAGTCCCAGTGCAAGGGCCATCTATTCTTAAAGGGGAATCCCCCCCCCCAAATAACTGCCACAGATTCAGTGCCATGGAATCACAGGAGTTGTAGTTTTACAAGGTCCTTAGCCTTCCCTGTTTAAGAGAGCCAGTACCATACCAAACTACAAGTCCCAGTTTTCTATCAGATTGTTTTGAATTTCAACTCTCACAATTCCTAACAGCTAGTGGCTGGGTTGCTGTGAGTTTTCCAGACTGTATAGCCATGTTCCAGAAGTGTCCTCTCCTGATGTTTTGCCCAGATCTATGCCAGGCATCCTTGGAGGTTGTGAGGTCTGTTGGAAACATGGCAAGTGGGGTTTATATATCTGTGGAAAGTCCAGGGTGGGAGAAAGAACTCTTGTCTGCTTGAGGCAAGTGGGAATGTTGCCATTGGCTACCTTGATTAGCAATGAATGGCCTTGCAGCTTCAAAGCCTGGCTGCTTCCTGCCTGGGGGAATCCTTTGTTGGGAGGTGTTAGTTGGTCCTGATTTTTATTGTCTGGATTTCCCCTGCTTTTGAGTGTTGTTTTTTATTTACTGTCCTGATTTTAGAGGAGTTTTTTTAAAATACTGGTAGCCAGATTTTGTTCATTTTCATGGTTTCCTCCTTTCTGTTGAAATTGTCCACATGCTTCTTGTGGATTGCAATGGCTTCTCTGTGTAGTCTGACATGGTGGTTGTGAGAGTGGTCCAGCATTTCTGTGTTCTCAAATACTGTTAGGAATTGTGGGAGTTGAAGTCCAAAACACCTGGAGGGCTACAGTTTGCCCATGCCTGATTTAGATCTATCTCAAAAAGGGTATATTCATCAAACCCTTTGGGCATGACCTTGGAAATATCTGGCTGCAGTGCAAAATGTTCTCACGTGTTGGGTTTTGGAAGCTGCACAAGATGGCTTTATGACAACTTCTGTCCCCTCAGCTTACCACTAGCTGCTGCATTTCCCTCCCCTGGCTTATACTCAAGTCAATAAATTTTCCCAGTTTTTGGTCGTAAAATTAAGTGCCTCAGCTTATATTCGGGTCAGCTTATACTCGAGTATATATGGCAACTAGAACTGGATGGCCACCTGTTGGGGAGGCTTGCATTGTGTCTTCCTGCCTGGCAGGAGTGAGTGGGTTGGAATGGATGGCCATTGGAGTCCCAACTCTAGCGTTCTGTTGTTGTTGTTATTGTTAAGTAGAGTTGTATGGCCACCTGTTAGGAAGGCTTGCATTGTGTCTTCCTGCCTGGCAGGAATGGGGTTGGACTGAATGGTCATTGAGGTCCCTTCTATTATTATTGTT